TAGCATAGTTGGTATGGTCATACTATCTCAAATTCTGTATTTCTTTTTAGGTTTATTTCCTTGTTGGTTGTTGTTTCTGTTGTGTTGGGGATCAACATTGTGCCTTGCCATACTAGACAAGTTCTTTACCACTGAACTACACCTCCAGCCCTTGGGTTTAATCTCTTCATCTTAGTGCTACATCGTATCCCTTTGGGCTTTCTTAGATGCCTAAATGCTTTATACTCATTTTATTCATTGATTATACTCTTCTGTGTCTTCAACTTCACTGGTTCCTTTCTGTCATCATTTTAAAATGCTTACATCTCTTGCTTTGCTTTGCTTTCTTTTGCCTGCCTGTCTGCCTGTGTACAGTACTATGGATTAAACTCAGCCATTGCACTGAGCTCCATCCCTAGCCCATTTTTTAAATTTTGAGACAGGGTTTTGCTAAATTGCCTGGATTAGACCAGAACTTGCCATCCTCCTTCATCAGCCTTCCAGAGGTTTGGGATTATGGACATGTGCCACCATGTAAAATGCTCACATCTTTTTTATGTTAAGAAAAAAATAAATTTTCCCTCTCTCACCTATGAGGCATTATACCATCTCCTTTACCTAGGCAGTTTATCTCCACATATTTCCTATCTCCCACTCACTCCTTAACAAATTCTAATCTTTCTTCTGTCCTTAACAGTGTAATGAATTGCTCTAACGAGGGTTATTGGTGTCCTCTGTGACAGGTACACTCTTTCTTCATCACCTAAGCTGGTAATTTCAAAATCTACATATTTACTTTGGACTGGGAGAGGGGGGTGCCAGGAATCAGACTCACAACTTTGTGTTTGTCACATAGCTGCTGTACTGATGAGCTGTATCTTTGACCCTACTTCAGACTTCTTGTAAACTTTTAGCTCTGATTGCATATACCACCCGCTTCCTTAGATACCTCAGATTTTCAAATTCAACGTGTTCATCTCTCTTGTGTTTTTTTTTTTTTTTTTTTTTTCAGAACCGGGGATTGAACTCAGGCCCTTGCACTTGCCAGGGAAGTGCTTATTCTACTGAGCCATCTCCCCAGCCCGTGTTTATTCTACTGAGCTATCTCCCTGGCCCTCACCTCTCTTCCTTTAGTAATAGTCCTCCTGTTTCTTATTTCTAGTATAGTATCTGGCATGGTATCTGTCTCCTATCTCCATGTCCATTTGATCAGCAAGGCTGTTGATTCTGTCTTCCTAAATAACTTAGATTTATTCCCTTCTTGTGTTTTTCATCTCTGTGTACCATCTCACTCCTTACTGTTCATGAACCTTTCCAGGCAGCTGCAGCCATAACAGAGCTAGCCTGATAGAATCTTCATTAGCTCTTACTGCCAACAAGGTAAAGCCCATATTCTGTACCCTACAGTTTGCCTTCGTAACTTTCCTTGCCTTTTTCAGCCTTATCTTGCTGTGTTCTTCCCTTTGCCCTCTGAATGTTACAATCCTCCTGAACACTAAGCTGAGCATACTTTCCCTTCCAAGCTCTTCTGTACCTATATAAAAACTGTTAATTACACTTCTGATTTGGACTTCATTTCCTGAAGAGGCCTTTCTGAATCTCCCCTCAAGACCATTTGTGTCACCAGCTGGGTTCTGAGAGTCCCTGGCTTGTTCTTTACTAAAGCCTCCATCCATCATCATAAATTGTTAAGTGTCTGCCTTTGGCTCTAGACTCAGTTCCATGAGGGCATGTTTTCTAGTTTCCTGTCTCTTACCCTTACCCCAAGCCCAGACTTTTTTCTTGTTTTTTTTTTTTTTTTTTTTTTAGATAGGCTTTCATTATGTAATCCAAGCTGGCCTTAAATTTGCTGTTGTAGCACAGGCTGACCTTGAAATTACAGTCTTCCTGCCTCAGCTTCCCAAGTACTGGTGCACATGTGCCACCATGTCCAGAATCTAAATTCTGAAAAGAACTCAAGTTTTCAGTGTTTTTTATACTTTTTCTTTTCTTCCTTCTGTCCCTCCCTCTCTCCTTTTTTTTCTTTCCTTTCTCTTCCTTCTCCTTTATTCCATCTTCTCTCCTTTTTATTTTTTCCTTTCCTCTTCTTTCCTCTCTTATTTTCTTATGTTGGGGATTGAATAAGGGGCTTTGCACTGAGCAATATCCCCATCCATTTTTAATGTTATTTTTATTTTGAGATATTGTTTCACTGAGTTGCTGAATTGCCCAGGCTGGGCTTAAACTTGTGATTTTCTTGCCTTAGCTTCTCAGAGTTTTAGAATTACTGATATGTAATTCTAGGCTATTTTTGTACAGTTCAAAAATTTTCAGAATAGCTATTGGTCTGTAAACTACCTGCTGAATTAAGACAGATACGGATTTTTAGACATACAGTAAGAGAAAAACTAACCATGTCTTGGGAGACTATTATCATTTCATGGACATTTTTTGATCATGTGTATATAGAGTACATAGAAAAAGATTGGATAAAGCAGCTAGAAACACTTTTCATTTAAGGAATGACCAAAGTGTATACTATATCCAAAGCTGATATTTTCTGTTTTAACTTATCTTTTTAACCTTAGTTTTCTTTTTAATTTTCTGTGGTGTTCTTTGGGAGACTTATTATGGTTTTCTTCTCTGATCCCCTAACCTACTTCCCAACTACTCAAGAATTGTAGAGAAGTCTAGTTTCATGATTGTAGAATGGATTTTTGGGGGGTTGTTTTTTTATTAAGTTTATTGGTACATTTTTAAGTATATATGGTGATCACATTCATTATAGAGAATTTGTACTCATACATGACATATCTTGATTCCTTTTTCCCCCGTTCCCCTACTCTCCTATCAATGCCTCTTCCCATCCCTATTTACAAAAACTTTGATTCCACTTTTTTTTTTTCTTTTTCTTTCCTTTCCCCTCCTCCCTCTTTTATGAATGGACATTTTGATTACAATTATAATGATTTCTTCTTCCTTTTTTTTGCGGAACCGGGGATTGAACTCAGGCCCTTGTGCTTGCCAGGGAAGTGCTTATTCCACTGAGCCATCTCCCCGGCCCCTTCCTATTATTTTTGCATGTCAAACCTAACTTTGTTTTGTGTCAGCCTTTAGGCGTAGTATATTCTTCCTGTAAGGATAAATGCCAGCTGCTGACGGGGTTTAGGACTCTGATGCTTGCTTGTAAGCTCTTTACACAAAGGTGATGTTTGTTAAAGATAAGAACATTGTAGTGACGTTAAATTGTATTAGTCCTATCTTCATTCAGAAAGTAAGCACATCCTTTCCACTCTAGACTGTCATAGCAATGAATCAACATAACCAAGTTTCCTCAGATCTTGGAAAATATAATTTGGAGTGAAAATATGCTAGGCTTAAAGAGAAAGATCATATGCTATTACTTTTGACATCATTATATTTTTAGAGGAATATCATTTAAATTGTTCATTTATTCATTTATGCCTTCTCTATTGAACCCAGGGCCCCTTGCCTGCTTAGTATGTGCTGTACCACAGAGGTACATCCCTAACCCTTAAATTATTGAATCATAAAAAAGGGAGCTTCTGTGTGGTAGTGCATGCCTGTAATCCCAGCACCCTAGAAGACTGAGGCAGGAGGATTGCAAGTTCAACCCAGCCTGGGCAATTTACTGATTTAGTGAGACTGTGTCTCGGGGGGGGAGGGGGATGTCAACAATGGAGAAAAAGGGTTGGTCATATAGCTCAGTGCAAAGGTCCTAGGTTCAATCCACAGTACCATAAAAAAGTGGGAACATTCTCATACAACAAGGCTAATAGTCTTTATTAAATGTAAAAGTGATTTCCCTCACTCAGGTTATATATGTCCAACACACCAGACCTTGGCTAAGTGGAGCACGTATGGGCTGTCCTTGTGCCTGCCTCTGTGTATCCTGGCCTATAGACAGCTTCTGTCGGGCCTGTGTAGCCAGATAAGATGTGTGTAGGAGGAGTCAGCAAGGGGCTAGCTTATGCCAGTGAACAAGGAAAGAAGGGACCTGTCAGACAGCTTATGTTTGGAGAACCAGGAAGGAATAGAACAAAGTGAGCTGTAAATATGGACAGCAGAGTTGACATCTGCTTATGTCCCAAATTCTCTCCTGAATTTTCAAAGGTGATACTTTATTGTTGCACTCAGACCAGAGTCCATGTGCCAGGTAATGAAGACTCTCCCAGTCAGCCTTTTTCTCTGTCTAAAACCCTTTCTTGCTGCCCAGTTTTGTATATACTTACATGTTAGCTATGCTGGCTTTTTTGGGTTGTTTTTATTTTTTAGTACTATTGATTGAACTCAGGGCCTTTGTACTAAGCTGCATCCCCAGACCTTTTTATTTTATTTTTTTATTTTTTGAGATGGGGTCTCTTTGAATTACCCTGACTGGTCTTGAACTTGTGATCCTCCTGCCACAACCTCCCAGAGTGCTAGTATTGTGGAAGTGTATGCTGTTGTACCCAGTCATACTAGACTTGTACTATTTTTTTTTCTTTAACTTGTACCTTTACAGATCTGTAAAGCTGAAGTGCAGTTACCCACCCTTTTCTTCTAGTATGGCCTAGCTTCATGCTGTTACATTTTTGAAGACTTCTCTGGTGCCTGATACAAAAATGGCCTCTCCCTTTGAAGTTTGATAGCATGCTATCATTCTGCATTCTGATTATTCCTTTTGGATTTGTTTATGGTTATCCACACTAACAATAGGCACCTAAGGGCAGAGTTTATTTAGTTTGTTCCTCATACCTAGATGTAATAGGGGAGTCTATGAAATTTTGTTTGAATTGCATTGAAGAGCTAAGTGATAGTCAGTAACTTAGTATTCATCTATATAGAGTATCTCTTCCTTGTAAATAAATAAATGTTGAAATGTTTTACGTGTTCCTTATCTATGAGAATCGTTGCTGTGCCCTGGATTGGGAGCAAAGCTTAGTTGCAATTTTGAGAGGATTACTCACCTTCCTTAAACCTTTACTACTTAATATTTAACATCGCATTTCTTTATTATGATTTTTTTTCACTTTCTGTAGAGCATCTGTTAAGAACGTCATCAACTAGCCGACCTGCTTCTCTGCCAAGAGTACCTGCTATGGAAAGTGCCAAGACCATCTCAGGTAATGACTTGTTTTGAAATTTTCCTTTCTTCTTTCACCCTCCTTTCTCTCCCCTCTTTCCTCCTTACCTCCCTCCCTCCTCCCTCCCTCTTTTTTTCTGTTTTTCTACTGGAGATTGGATCCAGCACCACTCACATGCTAAGTATTCTACCACTGAGCTATATAGCCTTAGTTCTTTTGGTATTTTTGATTTTTTGAGACAGGGTCTCAGTGTGTACTTGAGACCAGCCTTGAACTCATTCTATTGCCCAGTCTGGCCTTAAACTCATGGCAACCTTCTTGCCTCAATTTCCTAAGCATTGGGATTATAGAAGTGCACCATTATACTTCACTTCTTCTGAGACAGGGTCTTAACTAAATTGCCCATGCTACCCTTGAGTTTGTAATCCTCCCAACCTAGACTTCTGAATATCTGAGGTTATAAACATGTGCTACGACATTGCATATTGTTGTCTTAGTGGTTATTCATTGTACAAGATGCAGACATGATGTCCTGTTTACAAACACTATTAGAACAAATCTGTCTATTCATTGAATTAAGAGAATGTAGCTACATGTCTATCCTGTTTTGAATATACATATACAAAATGGTTGTTCATTTGTATCCCCTTTTTTTTGTTTAGTTTTGTCAGAGAAGGGTATTCCATTGTCATTTAAATATTATAGGTGCATGAATTCAGCAAAATATTCCAATATAGTCCAGTAATCCGTAATAGTAGTGGGTTTTCCATAAGACTGGCAATGTCAGAAGTTGTTGGCTTGAGCCTTTTACAGCTCAGCATATTAATATAGCTTTAATTTTATACTTTGTTTCTATACTTTTCTGCTGGATGGTTAAGACCAAGATAAAGCAAGACCTATATAACAAGAAATGTAGCTTTTGTATCTGATAAGGTCAGTCAGATCCTCTCAGGATTTAACCTGAAACCCTGCACCGCAGTTTGTCGATCCTTTGTCAGTGTCAGCCATGTGGATGAGTCACAGCCATTGCTTGATCAATTTGCTCTCTGTGAAAGCCTGAGAGAATGTTGTTCTCTAGGTATCTCTCCTTAGGCCCACTGTACGTCGTCGATCACTTTCCTCTGTGGCCCCATAATCTCCTTGAACAGAAAATGTGGGACACAACTGAGTTACATGATGTTACAGTACAGGTTCTCCTATGTCCTGAGTCTTCACTGACCTTGAAAGGCTAGGTCCAAAATGTTAGCTATCCTTGCAGCCCTCCTTTTTCTCTAATTTTTGGTCTGCAAACTTAGGTTGTTAACTGAAATTTTCTTTTAAAACTTTTCTGTAGAAGTGCTTACAGTGTATTGTCTGACATGTTGAAAATACAGGCTCATGCAAAATTCATAGAGGTGAAAAAAAATATCCTAAGATGTCTCAGAACTGATTAAATTATCAATTGTTCATACTATTTTCTGTTGTGGTCTTTACTTACACTTAATGGGTCAACTAGAAATTGAATGACTACAAAAGGAGAAATCTGTCACTCAGTCTTTTTTTTTTTTAATGTATTTAGTACGGGGTCTACAGGGTCTCACTGCACAGGTCAGACTCATAATGATTGTCTTGTTTTCAGCCTCCCAAGTGCTGGGATTACAGGCAGGCATCACCACACCCAGTCTCAATTGCCATGTCAGTGCACTCCGGAGGCAGGGCCAGCACTGCAAGTCAGGGATCAAACCCCGGCTGCTGGGTCTACCTAAGCAAGCACTTTGATCTGCTGAGCTATTTGGCCGGCCCTCTCTTTGGAATATAGAGAAGAAAATATCTTAAGAATTGAAACTGAAATGTTTTTGTTGTAAAATACCTAATGACTGTTCTTGCAAACAGTGACTCGACGAAGTAGTGAAGAAATGAAGCGGGACATCTCTGCATCTGAGGGAACATCGCCAGCCTCTCTTATGGCCATGGGAACCACGTCACCACAGCTGTCCCTGTCCTCCTCTCCCACAGCATCTGTGACCCCAACCACCCGAAGCCGGATAAGGTAGAGAACATGTTGGTTCATTGCATGTCTACCTTCCCAGGCTTTTAAGAGTAAATAATGAACTTGTAAATAGCACTATATTTTATTTCTTTTTGTATTAGTGTTTACTCATCTTTTCTCTTGTGTAAAATTGGGCAGATAATATAGAAGATACTGAACAAAATAAGAGAGTTCATTTCCTTAAGCATTTGCATATTTTTGGTTTTCACTGGCGGATGATTGTATACAAAAGTAAGTAAAGGTTGAACATTCCTACCTGAAACTCTGAAAAGCAGAACTTTTGGAGCACATGTACCATCTTTCAAAAATTTTAAACTTCAGCTTTTTGGATTAGAGATGCTGGGCCAGTAAAGCCTCTGCAAATATTCTAAAATCCTAAAATCTTGGTAATCTGAAACACTTCCGATCCAAAGCATTTCAAATAGAGATACTCAATCTGCATTATGAAGTTTGAATCATGAGGGCTATGAGTAGAGTGTTAGCAGTTTCCTATGGAAGTGGAATTGCAGCAGGACCTCGAGGGTGGTAAGTGGGGGAGGGCATTATAGGAAAAGTGAGTAACTTGAGCAAATATACAAAAGGGGTGAATAAATGAGGAGTCAGGCATGCAGTGGGTAGAGTGTACTGCAGATTCAGGGACCAGAGGAGGTTGTATCTACTACATTAGGGGGCTATAAAAGACAAGATTAAAGCTAAGGTGAGCATTGCCATGACTGAGGCAGAAATGTCACAAGTTCAAGCCAAGCCTGAGCACAACTGTGCAACTGAGATCCCGTCTCGGAAGTTTAAAGACAGATGGACGGACAGACAGACAGGGTTAGGTAGGCGTGGTGCATAGCAGTAATTGCTGCACTCAGGAAGCTGAACCAAAAGGATCCCTGTGAGCTTGAGGGCAACTGGAGCTACATAGCAATACCCTGTCAAAATGAGGAGAGGGAGGGAGGGAGGGAAGGAGAGAGAGAGACAGAGACAGAGACAGAGACAGAGAGACAGAGACAGAGACAGAGACAGAGAGGCAGAGGCAGAGACAGAGACAGAGAATTAGTTCAGTGTAATACCCTAGTTTGCGTCCCCAATATTTAAAAAGATTGACTAGCAAGGTATGGCTAGATGATGGAATCACTTTGAAGCGCATTTGAGTCACTTCAGTGAGGAAGCAGTAAAGTAGGGTAAATATATTTGTGTGAGAAAATGATTAAAGTACTATTCTATTCTGGACAAAAGTTGGGGAAACCATCTAAAAGGTTATTGCAGAAGTCTGGAACAGAGTCATTAGATTTGAACCAGGATGATAACAGCAGAAAAAATCTGAAGAGAGGGTCAGATCCAGAGATTTTTCAAAAGAAAAGGTAAATTCAACAGCAGATTTTTTTTTTTTTAAATCAAGGGAATATAAAGAATGGGAAAAGGACTGATATCAAAAGTATTTGTTAGTCTTTAGGCTCGAAGTTAGCATGATGCTACATGAATAAGTGATAAGCAATCCATGAAATTATAAGTTTATATTTTATTCTGAATTGTATCAGAAACCACTTTAGAATAAGAAGTGTTAAGAATTTAGAGGAAATTGATAAATATCAAAAATTTAGTGCAGTGTTTTTAGGGATGAAGGGAGTTGTAAGTATTCACAGTGGATAGAGAGAGAGTGAAGGGTTGCATAAATTTAGGTGTATATTAATTTGTAGGTTTGATGATAAAATGAAGTATTTAGCTTTCAGATTTAAGTTATGAATTCACTTTTAAAGTACTACCTCAAGGGGTCCAACCTCTGAGCTTAGTGGTCCCATAGGTACTGCATCTTATGACCAAATTGCTAGAAGGAGCCTAGGCCACTCTGGCCGTGCAGGGGAGTGAGTGTCAGCGCCCCTCTTTATGTCCTAGGTGAAAGTCTCCCTGCACTATGTCTGTGCAGAGGCCCCTGGCTGGGAGACACAATATCCACTACTCTTTGTTCTCCAATTTAGAAGCTGTGATCTTTAACATGGTATCTTCTGGCCTTAGTTTCCTCTTATGAGAGTGAAGAAGCGATAAGAAATTACTAGATAGCTCCAGGGCACTCTTTTCTGCAGCTTCTCATTGTATCCATAGAGTTTATTCTAATGCTTTTAAAATTATTTCTGTAGCAAAACACACCCTCTGTGAACCAGAATAAACCTTTCAATTTAGTATAATACTTTTATTTTATTTATTTATT